AATCGATTTAAAAAGTTTTGTCACTACAAGAAACGGAAACCTTTGATTTATCTTTTGCGTAATATTCGCCCTCGCTTTCATAGCCGTTCTCAGAGCTCTGCCATTCAACAAAGTATAACAGCTTTAATTTAGTTTTAAAATTTAACAGGTTTGCAATTGATAAACAAACTGAGCGATTTAAATACTACAATAAAGCACTTCTTAATAATTTAAAATTTTAACTCTACTTATTTTTCTTTATTTTTTTATGTATCTCATGTAAATTATATGTATTATAAAATGAAAAACTCTCATGTAAGTTTATTCATTTTATAATATATATAATTTTTATAAGCATTTGCCTCTTTGTTGTAATTAATAAAAAAAATCTTATTCCATACCTTATTTCGGCGCATTTCCCCCCCCCTGGCGTATTTTCCCCTCTAGTTTTTTAGGTTCTGAAAATTTTAAAATTAGCAATTTTTAATTCCCATGACTACATAAATTTGCCCTCTAAGGGCTAGTTTATTGGTAACTTGCATTTTATTGATTATTTTTATTTTTATTCGATGCATTCAATTTGTATTTGAATTTTTGTATTAGCATTTCATATGTTTTATTTTCGGTTGCATTTATTATTTGAAACGTGTTTTGTGCAGATTCTTTGTTAAGCTACACAGATGGGATAAATGTAGTATTCGAACTCTCGAATCCGGGTCTTTTGTTCACCCCTTTCTCCTTCCTTTTTCCAATGCCCATTTTGGGAAATGCAGTCAAGAGTAATTGCTGTAAGGTGCCACTCGGGCTTACGGTAAGGTAACTCAGCCTCAATATCCGTCAGATATTGCAGTGTTAATATTACTATATTGGAATGTAGCCTTCTTTTAAAGAAATAATATTGTAATAGTTACTACCAGTAGTTTATCTATGACTATTTTTTATTTGTTATGTTCTCACTGCAGCCGTGTTCTTCGGAAATTAAATTACTACAGTAATTTTCCTCTCTCGATTTTCGAATCATAAAATTAGTTACAAAAAAGAGGGATAATGGGCGAGAAAATAAGGTACTGGTGTTAACTGGTACATCTTTTCCTTTAAAGAAGTTTATGATTTTTTTTAATTCTTTAATGTTAAACTCTCTTTATCTTTTATTTTTATTTATTTATTAAAGCAGTAGATTGAAATTTGAAATTCTCAGATTACAATTTTCTTGCTTTAATTAATTAAAAAAAAGTATACATTTTCAGTATTAAGTATGAGTAAACAATTTGTTAAATATTCACTAATGTAATTTTGACCCTTTCGTTCCTGTCTTTCATTCTTGTCATTCATCAATGCTGAATCATTGCTCATAACCTCACACTGATACTCCCATAATCGCAATTTGACAACACTACCAATATGATTAATAAGCTTCCTTAAAAGAGAATTTTACGAGAGACAAATGCGACAACAATTCCATTTCATCAATTGCATTACTACGCATTCGTTTCTAATTTCACGACCGGCGACGGAAGAAAGAGGGGAGGACTACAGGGGGTGACTGGTGACACTCGAACTCCGGTAAATCCATTCAAAATGTTGACGGAGGCCTTATCGCTTACCTGCTTCTGTATTCATGTACACTTTGAGCATACTAAAGTAGCTATGCAAACCCGCTGTGCGTAGAATGTCCCTCTGTGATAAATATGTCAGAAGATAGCTATCTTATACTTCTACACGGCGTACCACCCATTCATATGACATACAATATTATTAAATACACGAAGAGTTATTTTTAGCACTCGGACAGGAGATGGCTATCAGAGATTCGAACTGGTTGGGAAATGTTACTCTAGGAAAGACGCTCTGCGTGTAAAGATCGCAATAACCGCAGATGGCAACCGTAAAATTGACATGGCACTGCAAATTCAATCGATCGAATTTGCAATGTTTATATTTCTTTGCTGTGAGACCTGTAAAAAAATCTGAATCTTGGTTTTATAATTCACACCTTACGGTCTGGAGTAAGTGCAGGGACTGATTTTAAAAGATACACACGTGACATGTGCCCTGCTTCCACTTTCAAAGAGATGTCAATATTTAAAGCATGTATTTTCTTTATTATTATTATTATTATTCTAAGTTTTAAAATATTTGAGTATTGCAAAGCATATGAGAACTATTTGGGTAAGGACAAGAATGCCTTCGTGGAGGTCTTTCTGAAGGAAACTAGCTTATATTCGTGTAACACATAGAGAAAACTACGAAAATTAAATCAGCCATGCAGCCATCCCATTCGCCTTTATTCAATGTATTCGAGCTGCGGTTGCACTAATTGGTAGAACCAATTTTAACTTTTAAAAATGTGAAATTAGAAACAAGATTTCATGAGAAGAAATTATTTTTTCACGTTTAAAAAAATGAATTTTTTAATTCGTATTTTTATCCATGTATTTGATTATTCATTTAATTTACAGAAATAAATTAATTAACACCTTAATTAATTTATAGAGATATTTATTAATTGATAATTATCTCTGTAAATTAATTAAGGTTCGTAGAAAAATCAATAAAGAATTTTTTACACGCTTTCTCTTTTTTTAGTTATTCTCAGGATATACATCTAATAGACTGGAGAGGTTTATTGCGTAGGCAGAATGCAAAAACGTGGAGGCAAACGTAGCTGTAGATTCTACACATTTTTATTACTGGGCAAAATAATTTTTGGTCGCATAATTTAATTCACACATCATTATGGACGCAATATGCAGCCCACGGTTTTGGAAGCTTAGCACATCTTAAGAGAATGGATGACACTAAGTGTTAATTGGAAACAAGCATGCGGGAAATTGTGACGCATGCAGAAGACAGCGTCCAACTGTCAAAAGGTCTTAGTTTCGAAAAAAGTTTTAACTTCAAATGAATTATTTTTCGCTGATTGGCTAAAACGTGCCTGCATTGTAGCGTTGTATAGATCACAACGTTGCCGTAGATTTGAAAATGACACAGTTTATAATGATATATTAAGCAGTTACTATTTTTAGAACCGAAAAGAGAAATATCCAAATTAAAATGAAGAATATAAGGGGCCATTACCAATTGAAATCAGGAGTTTGCTTTACATAGCCTATTTTACATACATATATATTCTATCCTTGTGTAAAATGTGTAAGATTTTATTTTATGCTATTACATACTAAACGGAAACCATAAAAAAAAAAGTGGAAAAAACATGAAATGTATTTTTTCTTCAAGTAACTTTAAATTAGAACTATTAAATTACAAGGGCATTTCATGCCCTTGTTAATAGTTAATTCATGCCCTTGTTCATGCCCTTGTTATTCAAATAGTTACAAGGGCATTTCATGGAATACTTTACTCGAAAGGTACTGTATATGAAATACCATTTCTGTCAGTGGTATCTTATATAAAGAAAAAAATAAAAGGGGACGTTCCCGTAGCAGGTTTTGCCCTTGGCCCCTGGTTTTTCAAATCGGACTTGGGGATATTTTTGACATTTCGTTGGAATGACAACTTTTTTTTTTTTCCATTAGCACTGCTAAAATAAAGGCAGAAGGGAAAAAATGAAAATAAATAAAGGGGGAAAGTTGATATCTGTAAAATTCCAGTGGCAAAAATTTCCATCCTTACAGAACATGAAACTTTTGAGGCCTGATCACGGGACCTTTTTGAAGAATAATGAAATTTATTTGTTTTGTCTATATGACAACAAACTTAAAAAAACGAAATTTATTAACATCTATCTCTTTTGAATAAATCTGCGAATAAATTAGAGACGGGATATTCAAACACACAAATCCAACAAATGTTCCTGAAAAAGATTGGTTGTTCTTTTCTCATTATTCGAATTTTTCTAATCTTAAATTAAAAATCATTAGATAACAGAAAACTTTGCAAACTTTGAATTTTGGAACGATTAATTTCATTGACATCTAAATAAGAACGTGAGAACTGCAATTCTGGTTCCTAGTATCATCTCAGATAGATCTTGAGACCCGTAGTGTTTCAGTATGTTACTTGGCGGAATTTGCTGGAATTTTCAAGCAATCGATGCCCTTCACTGTCACGGAAATACTCAACATTAATCTCAAATTGTGTGAATAATTCTGGAATGGATAATATGCTACTACAGGGTGATCCAAAAGTCAAACTTTCAAAAACTCCGGAAATTGCAGAAGGGATATTAACTGCCAATTGGTTCACTAGATGAAAACTCTATATTGTATTACGTACTGTATCATTTAAACTTTCATTTTAACTTTACACTGTTAGCTTTAAAAACTGTTTGCTTGTGCAAATAAATCTTTCCCAAGCAGAACGAATTTTTACGACTGAGCATTCGCGACGCATTCTTATAGAAAAGTTGCTTAAGGTTCGGGGGGGGGGTAAAAAACAGATGCAGAAAATTCTAGTTATAGTCATATTTTTAAGATTCTAAAATAATTCAAAAGAATGCATTAATTGAAAGAAAACATAAACATGGTTACTTATAAGAAAAAAAGGGGAAAGGAAAACATTTATTATTGAAAATGAAATTTTCCTACGCAATACGACAGAATATAATAAAATTTATAACTTCGTATGGAATCAAAAATTTGAAAAAAAAAATTCAAATTCAAATCTATCACGTTTAAAAAAGGATTTAAATTCAAATATTCCTTACTGTCTTTGAGGTAATTTTTAATAACTGTTACACAAAATTAATATATAAAAATATTTTTTTAAATGCTCCACGCGTCAAAGTTAGAAATCTGTCCTTCATTGTTAACACACACCGTATTTCCTGTTAATGAAAAATGCAATTCACGCTGAAGCGCTCGCCACAAAATAAACAAAACTTAATTGGCTGAGGCAAAACAATCAAAACTCTCTCTTTTTTTTTAATTTGTTATTTTCCATTATTATTATTTATGTGCTTGAACTTGGACTACTTGAGATAAGAAAGTGTTTCGAAAATAAAATACCAAAAAAGTAAAATCCATGCATATTTATTAAAAAAAAGTACCCATTGTACTTACCCACTGGACCATTCCTCTGCTATTGGAACGCTCTCCTCAAGCGATCTGTTGACACCTTTCTCAACCGCTATCCTTCCAACACATGTTTAGACAGACCATCTGCTGAAATCTATAACCATGGCATTCCATAAAGATTTCAATACCTGCTTACTCGTCCCTTCCCCCTTCTCTTTTACAGCGGCTTTAGCTTCCCCATCACGGGCCTAGGTGAAGGTTAACACCAGTCAGCAAACGCGGGTTCTGCAGGAAAAAAAAAGTGTTGAAGGGGGTTTCTGAACATATGACCTAATTCCAGCACCTCAAGAATGCGTCAAAAAAAATGTCGAAGAAAGGATTTTGAGATATTCTCTGAAATAGACGAGAACTATTTTTAGATGAGGTTTTCTTTTAAGAAAACAAAGTGAAAAGATAGAACTTTCCTTGCAGTCCGAAAGATTAGAAGAGAACCTTGAAGCTAACTTTTTCACCCTCCCCTCCCCTATTTCGGGCCAGAGGCATTGAAGAGACAGGCTTTCGGACCGTGGGAGACTAGCGGCCGATTACGAATTTAACCCTTACGGCCCGGAAGAAAAAGTTGCCCCGTGGCCGTCTTTTTGAGGTAGATGTAGTCGGCGTTAAGGCTGGATGTGTAAGCGCTTTTTAGCCATCGTCTGGAAGTTGGATGTGTATGTGCGTGCGTCATTCGGCCCCGTTATGCAGTATCTCAAAGTCTTTTCAAGGTCGTTTGTTCCTATGCGTCTCGCGCGCGGCTTTTACGATCTTTGGAATCATTTTAATGATGACGGTTACGTTCTACCAGCGAACATAAAGAAATACAAGTTTCCTCTTATGAAAAAATGTTATAGGGACTGACATAATTCTATAGAACTTCATAGTTAAGCCTCTGTAAAAATGCTTCTCTGTAGAGTTCTGTAGAAATTTTATAAAGCTTTCATCGAACAGAATTTGATAGAAATGCTGCTTTACAAAATCATGTAGAAATTTTATAAAGCCTTTATGAAGAATTCTGTTAAAAATCTACAAAAAATCAAACTGTAATCACATAATTTATGTAATTAATACTTTTAATTATAATATATGTATCCTTTATGCAAGAAATATTTAAATTTTCATTAAATTTAGCTATAATTTAAAATATATTTATGTTTATTTAAACCCTTTTTTAATCAAAACGATATTAAAATTTTTTATTAGGGAAAAAAGTCGCAACAGCTTCGAAAGTTTTTATTCTCGCCTTCCCCATGTAAGAGGTCATTTCAAAATTTGGACAAAACCAAAAAATTTGATTAAACAATGAAAATGTATTTCATTACTTTTTTAATCCCAAAAGAATATTGTATTGTTATCGTTATGTGGCTCATCAGCGGCCGAGCTGTTAAGTTATTGAGTGCTCTTAGTTCGACCTGCGCTCTATGATATAGTTGAATGAGCTGGATGCATTGGGCGTTTTGATACCTTTCTCCGTGTCTAACGGGGATACGAGCCACGTTTCCTTAAGCAATTTCTTCCTCATCTGTCCGAAACAGACTGACAGCAGTATTTTCTGCTAATATGAAACACTTATTTCCTCGTATTTCATTAGAGATGTATTTCTCGATCAATTAACTCAGTTCTCACTTCGCGGCAAGGCAAAAATAATAAAAACACAAAATATCTTCATTAAAAAATTTAAAGATATAGAAAAACATAAAACATCAAATACAGTTGAAAAATTAAAAAAAAAAAAATTTTTTTTACAATTAAAATTACAGTTTCTACGAAAAACAAGCAATTTGGCCAGCTGGCAAGAAGACAGATTTTTCGGTGCACAAAACAGAAAGTTTACTTTTGGTATCACTCGGCAAAAAGACACTGAAGGCGTAGAAACTGAATTTATTGTGGGCGTTATGCTGAGTCAATATATGGAATAGTTTAATAACTTAAATGATAATTTCAGTATATATTAAGCATAATTTAATTCGAAATAATGAAAGAAGATGTTACTTTGTTGTTGCGATACTTAGTTTCTCTAGACTGGCAACAAATCCATTATTCGGTTAAGTTTCAAATGTAAACAAATATGGCTGCTATGGTAAAAAAAAAATAGGATTAACCGCACTTAAACCGCTTCTAAATTGTTGATAATTCTACAACTATAACATGCAGGTTAACTAAAGGCCTAAAAACCTTAACTGGGAGATAAGCACAACATAATTCGATCATTTTGAAAGAAAAAAAAAAAAAAAAAACACAATTTACAAACATATTAGAATAAAGAAACTGTATATGCATATATATTTGGTGCGGCCGATTGAAATCAAAATAGGAGTTGCACATCTACATTTTATAGCAGCCTTATATACAAAATTTCAACTTTCTGGGGCTACTGATTTTTGAGTTATGCGAGATAATTACACACGTGCGTACAGACCCCATGAAAAAATGGCTTCAAAATCCATTTTAAATATTTTTTTAAAGAGTTCTTTATTTTGTCCTTACGTACAGATGTCACTCAAAAACACCGTTAAATTGCATTCGATAGCGGTCAAAATGGATACTTTCGTTGAAATATGATACCCGAAATCTTTCGCGATTACAATACTTCTTTTTACTTCGTACAAGGAAGTAAAAAGCTGAGCTCACTGAGCCGAGTAATTGAGTGAGTATATACATACATATGTAAGATATAACAAAATAACATAGCTGCTTTAAGAAATATTTGGCGACCTCAAAACTAACGATTCTAGATTTTATGCTCTCGCCCTAAATTCATCTGTTCTCTCAAATTCGAGATCATTCCCAATTACATAACATTGCTTGAAAAAGATAACTAAAAGTAAAATTAACCAATCACGGCTTAGATTCACATATGCACCTACGCGGTATAAATTCTGCTTCGCGAGGAACTACGTTCCTTTTTTCCTTACTTCTGCCATGCAAGAGTCTCTATGTTGCTTATGCTTTCCTGCTTGCGTCGTACTTTTAAAATTAAACTACATAAAATTTTATTATATTCAACGATGATTTAAAAATAATTTGTCCGCCAAAGAGATGATTTGACATGTGTAAATATAAAGATGTTGATTCTTCAATTCAATTTTGTTAGCTGCTTCATCAAGCCTTCAGCCTCAGCCACTCTTCTCAGGCATGTCTTCTCAGGCATGACAAATATCGAAAGCTACTAAAAAGTACGTACGCCCTTACGTACAGATGTCAAACAAACACATCGTTAAATTGCATTCGATAAGGGTCAAAATGGATATTTTCGTTGAAATATGGTACCTGGAATTTTTCGTGATTACAATACTTTCTTTACTGCGTACAAGGAAGTAAAAATGAGTAAACTTAGACTGTATAATTATAGTCCTAGGGACAATAAAAATAATTTGTTTTGAAAGTTCTTTAATTCTTTCTTAGAGTTAAAAGGAGCCTTCCTATAATTATAATTCTTGGAACAAAAAAAATAATTTGTTTTGAAAGTTCTTTAATTCTTTCTTAGAGTTAAAAGGAGCCTTCCTATAATTATAATCCTTGGAACAATAAAAATAATTTGTTTTGAAAGTTCTTTAATTCTTTCTTAGAGTTAAAAGGAGCCTTCCTATAATTATAATTCTTGGAACAATAAAAATAATTTGTTTTGAAAGTTCTTTAATTCTTTCTTAGAGTTAAAAGAAGCCTTCCTGTCGTCTTTAGCGAAATCTATCAAAATTTTTAGACTGTTACGTCACATTATGTTACGCTTTCATAAGCATCTAGTCCACTTGCATTGGGATACGTGTGACGTTTATCTTCCAACCATCTGACGCATAACTATTTCTCATAGTATTGTCAACGTAATATATTCAAATTATCTTTCGAATTCGCTTAGTTTGAAGTTGTTAACAAACTGAGCAATTTAACAGCAATAAATGTATTTCTCAATAGTTTAATTAAAATTTTTTAAATAATTTATTTAATTGGTGTAAATTAAATAATTGATTATTATTAATAAATGCTATTTATTATGTAATCTTCTAATACCATGTATTGCGTATCCGGTATGCATTGGTTTTTATATTTTTTAACCCTTTTATTGATGATATAAGTTCTTTCAAAACGAAACTCATAAGAGGACAACATTTAAAAAAATATTTTATCAATACAGCATGAACTCAGAAAAATATAAGCCCATATCAAATGGAGAAAAAAAAATTTTATTCTTAACACAGCCCAAAGATTAGCTCGATTAACACAGCCTAAAGATTGGCCTTAAAACAGCCTAAAGATTGGCTCGAATTGGGCTCGATTAAAGTGAAGGCTAGCAGTGCTGCCAAAAAAATAAACGTAATAGTCATCCTTTAAACGTTACCACTGATTTTCTTAGAAATCGCAACAGAGATAATAATATTTTTATACATTGTATTCATGTTTTTAATATTTACTTGTCTCTTCAACTTTTGTAATTATTTTATTGAAAACTACTCCTGACATCTGCTTTAATTATTTAAAATGTTGAGGATTACATAATTTGAGCTTGCTCAGTTTAATTACAGATGAAAGATGCTGATAAAATCTTGAAGCAGCTGCTTGTTTTTGCGCTTTATTACTCTTTATTTTGCGTTTACAGCTTGGCTTCTTCTTTGGTTTAAAAAAGATTTCATATTCATTAACCATCTGCATCAGAGAGAAGGAGAGAATTTCCTGAAAATTTAGCGACCTCGTAATTCCTGTAAAATTTTGTACAGCTTTGCCTCAGTTTAATACATTCATTTCATTCAAATGGACTATTCTTCCTTCTATTTATTCTCTTAGCTCCACAGCAGGTGGTTTTCTTTTCTCTTTTTTTTTTTTTTTTTTTTTTTTTTTTTTTTTTTTTTTTTTTTTTTTTTTTTTTTTTTTTTTTTTTTTTTTTTTTTTTTTTTTTTTTTTTTTTTTTTTTTTTTTTTTTTTTTTTTTTTTTTTTTTTTTTTTTTTTTTTTTTTTTTTTTTTTTTTTTTTTTTTTTTTTTTTTTTTTTTTTTTTTTTTTTTTTTTTTTTTTTTTTTTTTTTTTTTTTTTTTTTTTTTTTTTTTTTTTTTTTTTTTATTTTTTTTTTTTTTTTTTGTTTTTTTTTTTTTTTTTTTTTTTTTTTTTTTTTTTTTTTTTTTTTTTTTTTTTTTTTTTTTTTTTTTGTTTTTTTTTTTTTGTTTTTTTTTTTTTTTTTTTTTTTTTTTTTTTTTTTTTTTTTTTTTTTTTTTTTTTTTTTTTTTTTTTTTTTTTTTTTTTTTTTTTTTTTTTTTTTTTTTTTTTTTAATTTTTTTTTTTTTGTTTTTTTTTTTTTTTTTTTTTTTTTTTTTTTTTTTTTTTTTTTTTTTTTTTATTTTTTTTTTTTTTTTTTTTTTTTTTTTTTTTTTTTTTTTTTTGTTTTTTTTTTTTTTTTTTTTTTTTTTTTTTTTTTTTTTTTTTTTTTTTTTTTTTTTTTTTTTTTGTTTTTTTTTTTTTTTTTTTTTTTTTTTTTTTTTTTAGTTTTTTTTTTTTTTTTTTTTTTTTTTTATTTTTTTTTTTTTTTTTTTTTTTTTTTTTTTTTTTTTTTTTTTTGTTTTTTTTTTTTTTT